TGATGAAACCTATTTAAGATGCAGGTGTATATCTCACCTGTTAACTGTTACATTAGGTTGTATATGTCAAACACACAGCCGCCCATGTGGTACTTTTTCTGGCTGAGATGCATGACAGTGATGCTGAGGGCCACACTCCTGATGAGATCCAGGTCCATGTCAGCAGTCAGGACTTTGATGATGACACCTTTCACAATCACCCAGACAATGATACACTCCAGATACCACTCCAAAGAGGAATCAGAAGAATATCTATCATCTAGCCTATTACATTTTGTATTTTTTTTAATGTAGTTGTCTATGATTGATATACAGTTATTGATTTGAATAGAAATTTTGAGAAGATGTCATTGATCTAGTTAATTGAATTGCCTGAACTGCACTGTTTGCAATTCATTTGAATTGTAGCCTGATGCAGATGTATGGAGTTACTTAGTTGAATTAATTTGAATTGAATCGATGTGGATATAATTATTGAATTGAACTGAAATGTACTGATGGTGTACTGATGGTGTTGAATTGAAAATAACTGAATGCATTCAGACCCATTTAATTTTGAGCTGATTTATTTCAGTATTTATTTGTAAATACATATTAAAGAAACTGCATTCATGTATTTTATTACATGACAGAATAGACAGCATCTCAACTGAAATAAAGATGTAGTTTCATTATATTCACCACCAAAAATATTGTCTTTAATTTTAAAATAATTGTTAAATAAGTAAAGTGAGGCCAGATAAAACTTCTAAACAGTCCCCTGCAAAGTGCGGATGCTGTTGGGAAAGCCAGTGCCATTATATATAAATTCAAAAACTTTATTTTTATGACTGTGACAAATTGAACAGTGAAATGATATCTTCAGAAAAAAGCGGTCTGGACAATGATAGATGTGGGTTCTTTTTTAATGTCTTTCATGTAAAGACACTTATTGTTACTGTTTTTTAAAAAAATTGAATATTATAAACAACGCAGAGAAAAACAAGAACTATAGTCTCTCAGTGAAAAAAACTATTGTCAGTTATTTGCACTCCACCAGCTTTTACTTAAACTGAGTCAGGAGGGCAGAGTGTTTAACCAGATCCTGCTCTACCTTCTCCGATACGGACGGTAGGTGACGGTATAAAACTAAAAGTTGGTATTGCAATCCGCCTAAAAACTTAAAGAAGAAGAAGCAGCAGGTAGTATGCGCGAGTGCTGCCAAAAATCCTCTATTTCTCTGCTGTCTCTGGTGCCGCCTCCCGGTTCCCAGCATGCAGCCTGTCGTACCGGAAGGAGAGATGAGATTCCCCGGGTTGAAGTATTAGCTGGATGTTGTTGACTAACAACTGAATATAAAATGATTTCTAGTTCGCAAAGACACATCACATGTTAATTCGTGGATATCTGAAGGAGACGATAAACGCTGCCCCGTAAGTCAGCTGATATATTTGTGAACAAGTAGAAGGAAAAAAAGCTAGAACAGTAGTTATCTGTGAACTGTAGCTCACATGCTAATGTTAGCTGCTTTGCTTCATATGGGGGTGTGTTGTTGAGTGTTTTCTGCTCCTGTAGACTTGTAGGATGAAAGTAAAGATCCGACAGTGGAACGGAGTGGCCTCCTGGTTGTGGGTGGCCAATGATGAAAACTGTGGGATCTGCAGGATGCCCTTCAACGGCTGCTGTCCAGACTGTGAGTAACCAAGCCAGCGTAAACGTCTGTGGGTGTTGGTTTCATATGCTGAAGACGGTGGTAGACAAAGTAGTGCATTTAGTTAGGTATTGTTGGAAGAATAATATTAAGATTAGAAGAATACACGTAACTAAAAAAAAAGATATATTCTAATATAAAATCAGAATTGTAGTAAAACAACTTTGATTCCAAATCGAAATTAAGTAGTTATTTATTTCGCAGGGATTTTTAGCATTTCTTATAATTCAAACAGATCAGGCGTCCCTTCCTACCAGAGGGTTGGGTTACACAACCATAATTTTGGCCTCAAAATCTCACAAGTAAATCATGACATCATAACATAGCATATGTTTGTTCACTGATTTATTATCATTGTCACATTCAAAACTAAATTGGTCATTATCAAATAATGCAGTAAAAAAGTAAATTCTCATCAACAATGTGCAGCGGTCATTTCCTCAAAGGTTTTATAAACAAAAGTTAAAAGAAATGGACAACATCTGCAGAAGTCCAAATTGAGATAAAATGATGTAGAATAAGAATGACTTTTAAAAATTTAAATAGCATACTGAACGCGCAATATTACTGTAAATAAACTGTATGAATGATGTCTAGTCTACTATTTTACACTAAGTGGGATTCCTAACTTCATCCATATATATCAATATCCAGATTGTATCCCGATGGTGACTGTGGGTGTACTCTGAAATGTTTTCTGTTCTGTTTCAATCACTTGTAAAATGACAGCAATAATCTAAATATAGCATATTATAATACCGAAAAGCACTAAATATTAAACCATAATTTATATTACTGTAACACACACTCAGCACATTGCAGCATTTTGACAGTAATCAAACAGAACAGTGAAGTCAGGTGTCAGTAGCACTTACATTATGTTGCAATGCTGCTGAACAGGGAAATGGTAAAATAAAGAGAAATGTTCTGCTTGATTCTGAGGATTGAGCATGTAATTTAGTATTTTTCTTTGCTATATATGCGAGGTTAGAATTTAGCATTTTGGCTCTTATAATTAAGAGTTTTGCATATTGTAAAATTTCTGAGCCTGTTAAACATCTGAGCCAAAGCAACTGTTCCTTCTGATAATTCCAGTACCTCACTCCAGGACGAGTGAACTTGATCGAGCTTTCATTTATTGTTTTACGAATGCACATTTGACACTTTTCCATGGTTTCTCATGTTTTTACAAATAAAATCATTCATGATTTTTGTATAGTTAGTTATAGACAGGTGGAAAAGCGCCCAGTACAGTTTCCCCTGGGTTGGCTTGTGAGACTGTTGGCTTCTCTCAGGAGAGCTGCTAGCGCTCTCAGGACTAGCTTCCCTGCCATCAGCAGCAGAGCTGCTACCGTCCTCGCCACTGTAGCCAGATTGCATGTATTTTAAAAAGGCTGATATTTTGGCCTTACTTTCAGATGTTTTGGGTTGATGTCTGTGCATCTTTACTTTTAAATTGCTACATAACATAAGCTTTTATTGCACTTGATGTAACTAGCTGTCAGCCTGCCTGTCCTCTGCTCCGCTCCACTCAATGTGTGTGGGCAGGGGATAAGACACACACACAGTGAAACAGAAAGCAGAGAGGAGAGAGACACCACCGTTATTGACAGCAAAACACAGTAGAGATTATCACTGAGCTGAAATGAAATGAGGGGGAAAACGGGAAAAAGCATTAACATGTAAACATGTAAATGATGTAGTAATAGTGATCTATAAACAGGTATTTCAATACATGATTAATAGTGTTTTTTCTTTCCAAATAATACATTGAACAGTGGGAAAACTGATATGATACAGTATTGAAGGTCTAATATTTATGTCCTAAATGGCCATTTAAATTGAGTTGTGAGAGTTGAATTCTTTTCTCAGTATCTCTTAAAGTAAACTAAAACAACATGCCTGACAAACAACAACACCCACTCTTTAGTATGAATTGTAAAATATTAAACTTGTTTTGCAGGCAAAGTGCCTGGAGACGACTGCCCGTTGGTCTGGGGTCAGTGCTCCCATTGTTTCCACATGCATTGCATCTTGAAATGGCTGAACTCGCAGCAAGTCCAGCAGCAGTGCCCCATGTGCCGACAGGAGTGGAAATTCAAAGAATGAACCTGCAGAGGTGATGCTGCTGTACGCCTGTAGAGACTCACGCAAGCCTGTTCATGTGTTTCCTTTTTGTATCAGTTGTAAATAATGTTTTTGTACTTCTCCATCTGATAAAACGCAGAACATTTGGAATATATTGCATTCTCTTGATAAATGTAGTATGTAATTAAATAAATAAAACAGATCAACATCACATGCACTGTATGCCTCTTGCTTTGCATGATGCATGTAAGTGACTGTTTCATCAGTGTGGTTGACTGCCTGATTACCCCAGAAGCCTCTGTGGCAGCTGTTTTGAAGCATATGACCTGAATTTCAATGTGCTGCAGACTGTTTCTGATTTTAATCCTTCTTGATGAGATTAACCAGATTGTTTTGTGTTTCCAGTAATGACTCTGAAGAGGCACTTTAATAGCTAGTTTCTATCAGGTTAAAAACTTTCAATTTGTTATGTTAATATATTTTGGCACACAAATCCATTCAGACCAACTCATTGTATCTTTAAAGCTCCAGTAGTTGATTTTTATCCCCTTTTGAGCTACTTGGGGATAATGACATATCTTCACAGACAATCTGTCTATCCATCCAGCAGACAGAGCAACATTTGGAGTTGTGTTTCTGTCCACCTGATGCATGGAAGTCCAATATTCTCTCACCTATTAGCTCTCTAGCTTTGGTCTCAAACTGAGAAAACTAAAAACTACATTTTAGCTGCTAAATGCTTCTCTATTTTCCTCATTTATTTGCTAGCTTTGTCATTTGGTGCTGGGCAGGTAGTGTACAGTGATTTAAGTGTTTGATATTTATAATTAAAACCAGCTGCCTACTGGTGCTGGGGATCTGCAGAGCTGGGTCACATTTCTCTGTGGGTTTGACATCAAGAGTGTCCCAATTCACATTACTCATACTTATTTCTTGCATTGTTAATATAAAAAAAATTGGTTTTGCGGCTTTAATTTCTCAGTTTCTTCTCTGTCTTGATGAAAACTAACACTTGTAGTGTGTAGTATTTGTTGAAACCAATATATTTTGGCCATTGGTCATCAGCCCTGATTAAGGTTGTTGAGATGTTGGAGTAATAAAGTAATTCCTGGATATTTCATCTTTAAGATGGCAGTTCAAATGTTAATTACAGTACTTGATTCGTTTTGTCTCACACTGTGCTGGGAAATAAAGGAAATGGTAAACAAAGTGATAGGTTCAGTCTGATAAAATTTATTTAGAAAAGTATAAAAAAGAAGCCATTATCAAATAAGTACAAGTTAATACAGTTGAGTCACATAAACTTATCAAGAATAGACAAAAAAAAAAACACTTGATCAACTGTAAACAAATGTGTTAATAGGGCTGACCACACAAGCCTGTATGGTTTTTCTAATCTTAGCCTACAGAGGAGGGCATGCTGTCATAGAGGTGCTAATCAGCTGAGCAGAAACAACAGCTTCAAGTTTCACAACATTCAGAAGCCTTCTGAAATCCAGCGACATGCCAAATACAATCAACAACTTAAAATCAAGTCATTCATTCAGTTCACTGCAGTATAAAAGATCAGAGATCAGAGGGGATCCTCTGCCAGCAATCAGGAGTCAATCCAATCGGGAGGCAGCCAGCCGGCTCTGTCAGCCCACAGACATCCACAGTCTCTGAACTCCTGAGCTGAGGCAGCTCACAAGATCAGGACGCTGCACTGACATGGCCTTTTCTGTCCATTACTGCAGAGCAGTCGGACGATGGGGCATCAGTTTGTGGTTTTAAGAGCCAGGTGTTTTCAGTCATTGACTGCCAGCCCGAAGAGCTCCAGCAGCTCCTTGATGTCCGGGTCGATGAGGTCGGCCGGCTTCTCCCCGCAGTCGTTCTCCAGCTCAGGGTCTGCACCAAGCGAGAGGAGGTAGCTGGAAGAAAACAATATAACGTTGCTTAGTGAAAGGTATCAAATGTTGCTGGTTTGCGACATTGGCAAACTCAATGCGAGTGTCTGCCATACTTCAGTGTCAGGAAGGTCAGTGAGGTGCAAGAATGCAGCAGATCCTCCAGCTTGTCTTATCGCTGTGACGTAAGAGAGCTGTGGAGCCAATGAGTGTGTGTGTGCCTGTGTGTGTTGGTATGTGCTTGCCAAAGCATAAACATGTAATGTTAGGCTTTAAAGTGCAAAGAAAAAATAACAGTCTTCTTTTTAAAGATAGAAAGTTGAAATCATAAGCAAAAAAAACCAAACAAAAGGCATTTTGCTTCTACAGCTTTACTTGGTCTGGTATGACCAGTAGCTTATGACTCAATCACTTTTGCTGCTGTTGCACTATGTTTTAGTTTCTATACCATAATTCTCACTTGTGGCAGCAACTGTTCAACAAAAGTTACACAAGCTCTGTTTCATATAAAGAAAGAGTAGATGCTCACCGTGCAATGTGTGGGAAACCGTCGCTGCAGGCCATGTGCAGTGGGGTCCATCCCTCCTCATCTCTCTGGTGGATATCTGCTCCGTAGTGGACCAGCAGCTTCACACACTCCAGGTTCCCAGACAGGACGGCCTCATGAATGGCAGCCATGCCTGCATATACAAGGCAGAGCACAGGATAACGTTTGTGGTGTCATAAGCAAGATCTCTAACTGCATGAGCATTTCACAGATCAGGGTTATGTTATTGTTTCGCAGGCTCACCAGAGTGGTAGATGGTGTCCAGGCTGACTCTCCTGGCTCGGATGAAACACCCAATTCTCTCCAGCTCGCCGTGTCGCACATAGTCCTGGAAAACAATGTCATTGGGGAAGTGGACGCTGCGGATCGGCTTCAGAGAAGCAGAGCTCTTGCAGCTGACTGGGACACCACAGTCCTCGGTGTAAGCCTTGATTCCCATGGTCTGGGACACGGGGCACTGATAGTACTTCATCCTAGTCAGAGTCAGACTTCTCTTTGTTCTTGCAGAAAAACTGGCAAATTCCAAGTTTCCAAGTGAGTTTGACCTCCTTTAAGTCTTAAAAATCAGAGCAGATTCTCTTCAATCTCTGAGAAGTCAGTTGTTGTCCTGCAGAAAGATCAGTCAGTTCTTCTCAGTGTGGTTCTCTTTCTGTCCAGTGTCTCCTGTGTATCAACAGTGGAGCTGTTCCTCTGAAGGCCAAGCCTCCCTGCGGGTCTCTTTATACTCTCTGTTGGGCTATTCTAAGACACAACACCTCATAGATCCAGTGACAAAATTTGGAAGATGAGTATCCGTCTGGTCAGGGCCCTCCCACTAACCTGTCACAAGCCTGTGATACAGCTCACATCTCAAGACATGACAGCCAGTAACCTCTGCCTGTCACCCCCCTCATACACAGATGCTGCCCACTTAAAGTTAGTGGTGACATCCCAGCAGCTCAGAGGTAGGTGGGTGGGTGGGTGGGGGTGGGGGCTGGAGGCTTCTAGTAAACACTAAGCAGGATAAAAGTGGTTTACTGCTGGAGTGTGTCAGTGTCAAGGGCAAGGGCATGCAGGGGTGAAGTGTCATGTGTACGCTGCTGACCATCAATTGCACTGACATAAACAGTGTGGAAAGGCTGCTGGCTTCATAGTCATGTACTATCTTAATGGCTGATGTGAGACTCAGGAATGGTTCTGATCAAATGACTCCATGGTTTGCATCATTGTCTTTATGACTACAGGGAAACTGATAATGCAACATTTAAAAATATATATTTTTAAAAGTGCCAAACATGGTCTGGTTCCGGCTTTTCAAATGTGAGGATTTGATGCTTGTTAAGTGGCTTTGAATGTTTGTCAGACAAAAAAAAAAATATATATTGAAGAAAGGAATTTAAAGATGTCACCTTGGGCTCCGGGAAATTTTAACCACAATCGAAGCGTGGGTTGGTCTGCCAGTTGGTTGGTGCACCAACTGGGTCCATTCATCATCCCCAGACAACTTTTCATCAGTCACCCGAGGTTCACATTTGTGGTTTTGAGTCAAGATCCAGATATACTTTATTGTCCTGGGCTCAGAGTTACTGCCACAGATTACCTTCAGACATACATGGACAGATTGTTATACATGGTGCAAACACGTTCCCCACAGGAGAAAATGTCATAATTGTACTGAACATGTCAATTTTTTAAATTCTTTTTCAAATACTGTGATTTATGAACCAGAACCAGCCCGACAGATATATCTCCCATCAGCCTCAGATGTACTTTGTGCTGTTAATTAGCTGATGTTAACATGCTCAACTGAGAACTCATAAGTGAACATTATACTTGCTAAACATGTTAGTGATGTTACTGTGAGCATATCAACATGATGATGTTAGCATTTAGCTCAAAGCTCTGCTGTGCCATAGTACATCCTCACACAGTTGCAAGCCTGGCTGCAGCCTCTCAGCATTGTTAGTAAATAATTGATTATTTAGAAATGATCTGTCTGGGCATTACCGAGATATCACGTTCACCTGAATGGGATGGACAACCTGAAAACAAAATGTCTGTCCACAGCTATTTCCAGCGTGGAGGGCTAAAAATAAAAAACTGAAGACAAACTTATTTTTATATTTTTTTTTTTATTGGCCACCATTTCACGTTTTCCACATCAATTTGGATATGATGGAATGCTTTATTAATTTTCCCCCACCGCTGTACAGCTGTCAAACCCATCACCTGGCTCTACTCAAACCTCCCCTCCCTGCCACACACACACACACACACACACACACACACACACACACACACACACACACACACACACACACTCTCCTGTTCATGGATGACCAGAAAATATGAACTAGTCATTCAACACATCACAGCAACTTTTACACCATTCACACAGCACACGAGGCACTCACACTCGCACACAACGCTGCGGCAACAAAGGTGTTGGGTAGAGCCAAAAGGATGCATGAGGTACAGTATGGGTGAGGGGTGGGGCTGTGCAACTGTTCCCTCCCCGCCTCAGATATAATAGACACTTCTCTCAGACCAACCTGACCAGTAAACTGTACCAATCTCTGTCTGCTTTAGTAACCACAATGAATCTCTGATTAGGCATGAATGCAGTGCGACCTATCAGAACTGGCTCCAAAAACCATCCCAGGCCTGAGAGTATGTCCAAGGGCCAACTCTGCCCCAACAGGGCCAACTGGCTACAGCTGGGCACAATGGTACATCATTAAAAATGACAAGTCCTAAATAAAAAAAAAAGAAGAAAAAAAAAACCAAAAACAAAAAACTCATAGTGAAAGCAATTAAATAAAATAGGATTTCCCCAAAGAGTTAAGCTTTGTTCCTTTTAGAAAATAGTCAGTAGCCATGCTGAAATGAGGAGACTGTATGAAGGAAATGAAAATAAAGTAACATAACCCCCCACCCCCCTCCCCAACCCACACCAAAAGAAAGAAAATTATTGGTCTCAGCTACAGATTGGGGGGAGGGGGGCTTTGTGCCACACTAGACAAGCTCTGTGGGGTGTATTTTAGTGAACATATTGCAAAAAAAAAAAAAAAACATCTACAGGATGGCCCCTTGTCCCCTGAGAGTTCAGTCCTTACAAAACCACCACACAAAACACTGGTCCTCTAGACTTCTATCAGAGGGAGAAGAACACTGGCACCCCCCTTACCTACAAATACAGGTTACAACACTCATTTAGCTCATACCCACACTGAAAGATGGTGAGGTGTTTTTAAAGAGGAGGGGAGCAATTCATCAAGAAAAACAAACTTTGAAAACTAGATCTCAATGCCATTTTTACATTTGGTTTAAAATATACAAGGCAAACAGCTGATGTGGAGCTTTGTAGAGAAGGCATTGAGGTCTCTCATAGAGGTGGTGCGCTGTTCCACAGAGTCCCCCCAGGTGGGACAAGACCAGTCTGGCCAGAAGTTGTGAGGTTGGAGATGTGGCTGGTAAAAAAAGGCCCTGCCACGCTACTGATGGACTGACTGACTAACTGGCAAGCTGGCTAACAGGCCGGCTGACTGACTGACTGACTGACTGACTGACTGAGAGGCAGTTAAAAGGGGAAGTATTAATGTTCACAGGACAGGGAAGGTCCACAAGGAAGTGAAGGTAGTGATGGTGACTGGGTGGAAGGGTTGGGGCGGGACTCGTCTCCTCTCTCTCTTTCTCTCCTCTGCCAGCTCTTACAACTCATCGTGTCCATCATCGTCACCTCCATCCTCACCATCAGAGTCCTCGTCCTGTCCTTCATCCACATCATCCAGATCCTAGAGAGCAGAGAGGAGGGGGCCACTGATCAATACAGATATGCAAGCTGCACACAACATGTTTTAATGATAAAATATGAACTTTCACCAGCATTTTCAGACATAGCAGGTGTTGATAAGACATGAGGCGTCAATACTGATTGAATTAACACTGCACTGTATCACCACCACAACTTGGCATATAGATGACATCTTTGTTTTGCATAGCCATTCCTTCATGTCTAGTCTGTGGACAGGTGGGGTTAGGAGATGCATCAGAAAAAGGAAGGCACTAATGTTGACTGCAGCGTTGCACGTGCAGCTTTTAAGTGGAAGCTCAGGTCTCCAGGCAAAGCCCAGTAAACAGCTATGACAGCTGCAGGAGGAATTAGTGGACAGCAGTCGACTCTGCTGCAATTAGACTTCTGGGAAGGGGGCGTGGTGGCAGTGGTGGAGTGGGAAGGTGCTAGTAAAGAGGATCCCCCACTGATATGCACTGGATGCAGTGGAGTAGTACACATAGTATATGAGCCCAAAATGCATCCCCCTGCATCTTTGACCAAGACATGGACGCAGGTTCCCCAGACAGACTGGCAAATATCGTTCTCACCGATAAAGATGCTAGCTTTTAATTTTGTTAAGGTGCTATTTTTGGCACATTTTCTAAAATCAGCATGAAGATCTCGTCAAATGGCTATTTAATCATTAGACTGTATAATGATTGCTTTTGTTCAGTTGTGCCATTCTACCTCCCCAAAAAAAGCAAAGTGGGTCAGTTCTAAGGTTACAGCCTGAAATCCTCAAAGGACCTGGTCCTATTTTGAGTAGCTTCAGACATGATGCCAAATATGCCCCCAAAAAGCGCTACAGTTTCAACGATAGACATGTGCACGCTCCTCTAAGCTCTTGACTTTCAGTTTTATATTACAACTAAAAAGTAATCAAAATAAAAAAAGTGAACCATGTCAGTGCATAAACTTTACTTTCAAGTAAAAGCAGAAGCAAAAATTCTTAGGGTGCATTTGCAAAATTATTAAGCTTTCTTGGAAACCTCTACTTAAGTGTAAAAATAATAAAAACCATTCTCTAACCACCATTTGTTCTACGGTGACTGACGATGTTCAGAGCAACCGCCGATAGCTTATGACTTTTCCAATGTCAAGACGATATTTGGCTTATTTTCCCAATGTACTAACCAATAAATCATCAGTAGCAGTAATATTTATTTAATTATTATTAAATTAATTAACTAAAATTACTATCAAATTCAATTTGCCCTGACATAGTTTCACGACTACATGTTCTGCATATAACCGATGCTAGCAACACCGACACGCATTTTATGTGCATGTGCCACGCTGTGATTAACCAGTGCCAAGGAGATCGACAGACAGAACGCGTCAGTAAGTTCGGTTTCTTGTGGTTGTAACTGCAACTTTTGGCCCCAACAGGGAAGTGTTGAATACTCTGATTATTAAATGGAAATAGTTAATGCTTTGTTTGCGATGACAATTTTGTTTAGTTTTAACATAGCCATAAAATTTGTTATGCTACTGTGGCGGTATTCAATCCAAGAAAGACAGAGATTGTCGAGTTTTGCTCAGCACATGGTAGCCTGTCAGGGTAGCTCTCATAGGGCCACAACTGTGCTGCTTTCTATAAAGTGATTAGATGCGTCTCAGTTGAGATAATCTTACATCTGCATCCAGATCGTCGTCATCGTCGTCTCCTGCCGGGGCGCCGCCCTCCTTACCACCACTCTCTAGGAACTTGGTGAAGCCTTCCAGTGTTCTCTCTCCATTGTAGTCAATCACCTGTTGATCAGACATTATAACCGATTAATGCACAAGATCGACACATCAAGTCTATAACATAATTACGTGTGTTTCATTGCAAAAACAAAAATATCACTGAGCCTTTCACACGTGTGTGCCATTTAAAAAGGCAGCCAATAAACCTTGGCACTCCGACTTCAAATGGAGCCAATAAGTTGTCCACGGGTGATCTATGAGCAGTGACACAGCAACAAGCTAGTGGAATGATTGCTAAAATAAGGTTGCACATGAAAAGGACAATCAAAGGACAACTACAAAGCACCCAATTTAATTTTCAGTGCCATAAATCCATCCACGGCAACCATCCTCCCTCAGCCGTCTCCTGGGTCTTCTGCATGCTTCATCTAAGTAGGGTCATAGGCTAATCCTTAGACTTACTATGGAGGGGGGGCCCAGTATATACCACATCTTTAAGGTTGCTAAACTGAAAGCCAGCACGAGAGCTGTGGAGAGAGGCAGGTGCAGGAGTCTCAGAGAGAGTGAAATCGTCGAGCAGGAACCAAACACCCACATAATGGTGCAGAAACTTACAAGGCCAGCAGGCTCAGGTTTCTGCACATGGTTAACGCTGCTAAATCAAGAGGCACTAATGATAAGTCTCTATGTTAGTGATGTTGGATCCAAATAACCACCCAGATCACTACAACTCACAACTGCAAAGGTATGTAATGAATGAGAGGGCAAAACCATATTTTTTGGAGTGGAGATGGATGGATTATGGATCAGTCGATACAAAGGATGATGTTTACAGAGGTGAGTGAAGCAATACAGATCAAATTACGCGTGAATTCTTGGTTGACATGATTTGATGATTCAAAATGAATCTGATTCAAAGTGAATCTTGAGTCAATAAAACAGGGCGACACTGTATTTTGGATCTTACTGCTGTGCACTGTGTGCCAAACCACTGATCCCTGTTCTTTGCCCACTGGGCTGCAAATGAAACATAACTGACAGTAAATCTAACTGGTCTTCAGGGTCACTGACTTGCAGAAGAAAGTGTGTCAGAGCATGCAGCAATTCAATTTTAAGTTATTTGAGTTAACTGCATTAACTTGATCTTACAGTCTTCCTGGAGAATAGCAAGTGTGTCATTTACTGACCAATGTCACTGGTTAAATGTTTGTAAAAACAGAAGTGTGTGTGTGAGAGTGTCTTTTGAGTAAAGGGGGGAAGCTCCACTTATCTTCAACAGTGGAGAACAGCCTCTGAGCTGTAGCGTTAGTACGGGGGAAAGCAATTGTTATCCAAAAACGCTGTACAGACACAGGGCTTCTGAAATTAGACACACTACGAGCCAAGTTATTTTTTTTGCCCCAACAGAGTTGGTTGAAGTTTTGCAAAGTGATGCAGTGTGCTTCAGCTGCTCTTGTTTGTTAGTGTTGAAATTCATACTCTGCTCTGCTGATGTCAGTCTATAGATGTCATTAAATACATAATGCACCTGAGTATTTTTGCTGAGTGTTTGAAGATGAACTACAAGATTACTTTAGTATATGTATAATGCATACCATCCTGGTGCTGCACTGTGCCCCAGCTGTTGTGTTCATTCAACATTATACCTTTATCTAACATTATTACAACCAGAATTACCACCTGACTGTTGCCCACCAGTGAAGTTGCAGGTAAAATATAATCACAACCTATCCTTCTGTTACTGAGTTACAGTATTGAATACTCACTATAAGTGTTTTTGCAGAACATTATGTTGTCACAGTGAAGTAGACCTTTGACTGTCTAGAAATCATCATTTTATCCAATAATTGTGTCATTATTAGTGTATGAATTCTTGAGTTAGGGCCAAAAATATGTTTTTGAGGTCATAGTGATGATGACCAAATTCGATTCAGTTCAGCCTCGAGTCCAAGTAAGACCAAGTTGCACCAAAGTTCCCTCAAGGTGTTACTGACATATCATATTATTGATTTGTGAATCAATTCAGAATTATAAATGATAAGAATCTTTATTCTTCTGTGGATCACTTTTTTTTTTTTCACTCACACTTAGATCAAGTTTAAAAGTAAGGAAATATTATCTAAAAAGTTCTGAAGACCTGAAGAATGTAAAACTGTAAACAAATAGTCAGTGATGGGGCTCTCACCTTGCGGTCTTCTCCTGCAGGGAAGAACTTAAGAGTAGGAAAGCTGTGGACTTTCACTGCCTCGATCTCATTGGCTGTGGAGTCCATCTTTGCCACAATGGTGTCAGCACTGTCCTTATACTTCTCTCCCAGCTTGTCCCAGATGGGAGCCAGCTGTTTGCAGTGTCCACACCAAGGTGCATCTAAATACCACAAAAAAAAAAAACCCAGCAGTTTAGTATTGAATGATTACTGACAAAACAATTGCATTGGCAACACATTTAACACATTTAGGGGCTGTATCATTTCAGTAAAGTCAATCCCTGGAAGCAGGCATACACACAACATGTCACATGCATCCTGAGCTTCAAGGCATTGCTACCTTTTGACTGACTAGGAACCCCCCCACTGCCACCTGTCAGGGAATATGGGTCTTCCCTGCTGTGCATGACTGGCCATAAGCTGTATTTAAACAGCCAGCGATGGAAAATTCCTCCACAAATAGTGTAAATTTGGATGAGGATGAATATAAAAATAATCCAGTGACTATATTTAACCAGATCTTTTCAACATCAGTGTCCAAAAAGGTATGAGTGAAGCCTCAGCTTCAGCTCTGCGGTATTTGAAAAGGGATTAGCACAGGCAAAGTAAGGAAGGGCAAGATTCGAGTTTCAGACGCTGCAGCTAGAGGCTTTGCCAAATTTCCCACCTATGAGCAACTGAGCTTTTACTGAAAATACCCATTTAACAGGTGAACCCCTTTGCCAACACAACCCAGAGACTGCTGACCATTGTGTTTTCATGTTTTTCATATGGAAATTTCTACTGGCTCCATGGTCATAAGAAAGAAAGAAAGAAAGAAAAAACAGTAAATGGGATAAAGACAGAGGCTCTTACAAAATTCCACAAAGACATTCTTAGTGGGATCGAAGGCGACCTCCTCAAAGTTCTTGCCCACCAAAACACTGACAGGGTTTTTGTCCCAGTCTTCAGGGATGTCCTGGCTCATGAGGTGGGGCTGTAAAAGAACACAGACAGACCATGGCGTTACCAGGATTTAAAATTTAATTCAAGTTAATTACTTGTAGCTGTCCAACAGTATGCCCTTAGCATACAACTGTCCTATATTTGTGTTTGTGTGTGTGTGTATATATATATATATACATACATACATATATATATACATATATACATACAAACTGCAAATTCAAGTCCAAAACTAACTAATGAAATCTTACACACCATTATGAATGTGCAATGATTATCTTTAGTTTATATTTGCATAGCCAACCACTCACTTTGAGTTTGCCCTCAGTGAACAGTGTGCAGAATGCAGTGATGCTCTCCGCTGTGATGGCGTCACTCTCTGGCTTGTACTTGGTCATCTCGTCCTCAAGGGTGATGAGGCGGATGGCTGGGCACTCCTCTTTCTTCAGGCCAAAGAACTCCAAGATGCGCTGGTTGTCATCCACGTCGCTGTCAATGAAAATGAACAGGATCTGGACAAGGGGGGATAGAGGATGTTAATAACTGATTTTGTCCCAACAGATTACTCAATATATCGTGTCTGAGCAAACCATTAGACTTTAAAATGTTTGTGTAATGTTCACAGAATGCACAATAAGCACAGGTTAACGACAGGTTCAGGACAACTGCAGTTTGAAAGACTGACATGTCTCTTCAGACAGTTCACCTACCCGTCCCTTGAATCCCTCTGCGGCTTTCTTGAACTGGTCCATTTTGTCCTGGAAGTCTGAGGCGGCTTTGGGCAGAAACATGAGGATGTGGGACTTGATGTCTCCACCAAAGATCTTAGGGGCAGTCTGCAGAAAACAGAGACACACAAGTTTGACATGTGGGCATCACACTTGGAGTTGCACTGTTTACTGTTGTGGACAGTATTGTGTTGTGGTTAAATGAGACGTTAATGGTCAAGTTGATGCCCACAGCTCCAGTTGTTACCTGCTCAGTGAACTCAATGACCAGAGGCAGCTGGTTGGCCTTGACAAAAGCCAGGAGTTTCTCTTTGGTCAGCTCTCCATCAAAGGTATTGCGCCCCTCATCAAACTGTAAAGGAAACACGGAAACATTTAGATACAAATATTATCCACCCATCTATTCTGCCTGTGAACACCACAGATTTACCGGATGAACCACTTTAAAATCCTTTAGTAAACCCCAGCTGATGAAAGAGAGGACCAAAAAGACTTTTATTGGGTGTTAAGAATAGCATGGTACAGCTGTGCCAAGCAGCCTTTACTGGCACACAATAGGAGAAAGGACATTTGGCCAGCAGCACGCTGCCTGCCCTGTGGGCACTGACTGAGGCCATGAAACTTAAGCTTTCAACCCCTGTTGCAATAAACAAGTGAAAGACCCCAGTTGTTTATTAAGACTGAGCCCTGGATTTGAGAGGGTTTGCTATACTGTAGGCAACGAGCCCACATGTCAGCAGTGTTTGTATCAGGGTAAAGTTACCAACACAGATCAGAGGCCAGACAATGGCAGTTGGTGCACTGAGCCTCGGTCCATGTGTCACAATGAAGGATCATCCATGACTGAAAGGACTGTGTGAGTGCAGAGACACAGTGAGAAAGCTTCTTGCTTCTTACTGAAGCACCTGGGGCTGATAGAAATGATCATTTCATTACTGATCTACTGCAACTATAAACTGATAATGATGCTCATCATGAGCAAGACAAAGGTTAAAAATTAACTTAGGGCCGCAACTAATAATAATAATAATAATAATAATAATAATAATAATAATAATAATAATAATCATTTTTGATTGATTCTTTAGTTAATGAATTTGTCCGACATCAAACATTAAAAAATGCCAAGAGATGTATTAGAGATGTATTATTCAGTTAACCAAAAGATGTTCAGTTTGCAGTCATATGACTGAAATTTTTTTTTTTTTATAAAAATACATCTTCACACACGCTTGCACTAGTGAATGTGAACTATACCTGCATTTAAACATTTGCTTCTTTTTTATTCTACACTGATTCTGCACTGATCATCATGTTCACTTTTGGTTCAAACTGTTTTACANTTCATTACTGATCTACTGCAACTATAAACTGATAATGATGCTCATCATGAGCAAGACAAAGGTTAAAAATTAACTTAGGGCCGCAACTAATAATAATAATAATAATAATAATAATAATAATAATAATAATAATAATAATCATTTTTGATTGATTCTTTAGTTAATGAATTTGTCCGACATCAAACATTAAAAAATGCCAAGAGATGTATTAGAGATGTATTATTCAGTTAACCAAAAGATGTTCAGTTTGCAGTCATATGACTGAAATTTTTTTTTTTTTATAAAAATACATCTTCACACACGCTTGCACTAGTGAATGTGAACTATACCTGCATTTAAATATTTGCTTCTTTTTTATTCTACACTGATCATCATGTTCACTTTTGGTTCAAACTGTTTTACACGTGTGTTGAAACCCTGTCTGATCATTTTGAAGGATGTAGTTTTTGATGCTGTTGAAGTATGTTGCATCATGCTGAGAGTGTTTCTAATATTATGTCCAACCCATTTATATCACACTGCATCAGTTTTTGCTAGCTGCACCTAATAAACTGGCAATTGAGTGAATGCTGTACTGTAGTTGTTTGACATTTATGTTTCAAGTGAACATTTCCTCTGTGAAGACTTTTCTTTCATTGTCTTGCAATTACATCAATTACCAATTGCATGCAGGAAGCATGAGCTTCACACATGTGAAACCCAGACTGTGGGCAGTTTTTAGACATTTGCCTCATTGTAGCATTAAGCATTTTTCCCTTTTTGAAATAACACAAAACAAAGAACAAAAAAAGACAAATGCCATGAGAATAATTTTTGCGGAACTGCAGAGCAACCATCACACTCTACTCTGTAGCTCTGTGGGTGGTAAGATGAAGGACTATCCACTGTTGTAAAATGATGATGTGGTGTAAAATTCATCAAACACCCTCACATTACTGGGTTGCTTAATTTTTATTGACTGACACTCTGGACCTTGACCCAATTTGACAAATCGACACACTGACTGACATACCGTTTAGCTGATAAGAAAGCAATGATCTCTGATCTGCAAGGGAAGGTTGTCGTCAGTAAACCTGACCCCTGAAGGCAGGCGTCACCTGTCCTCTCTCACAGAGTCTGTCGTTCCCACATACAAGAGGTGGGAAGAAGAGAAAATCATCCATTTGGACTTCAAGGGAGGCATTCAGCCAACATCCCTTCAGCCAATGGGGCTACTTGAAAGATGGACCATCACCAAACAAAACTCTTTACCATTCATCAGCATTACCTCAACATGTTGAGGTCACTCACTGGGTAGGTCGAGCAACAAGCCTAAAGGCAGCCACACGACTTAAACGTTAAAAAAGGACCCAGAGGCCAAGATTAGCAACAGAGAGGGGATACCATGAGGGCAACAGCATCATGTTACCAAGGTGTGGATCAAGAAGACTGTAGTGTCTTCACCAGCTTGATCGTAAACACTTGAACTTGTGAGAGTGAATGTCACAAGCTGATCCAAGGCTACAGATAAACTGTTTAAAATATATTGTGATTACACAGTGAGTAACTATGCAAAATAATGTGTTAACCATTTTGAAATCTGTCCTTCAACCACAGTTCGTCCAGAGGTTTGAATATACAGACTGTACATGTGTGCAGATGCACTTTTTGTGTCACCACAACATCTTTGAAACAGTGAAGAAATAAACTGAAGAACTTGAAGTCACCTTCTTGAAGAGGACAACACTGTCCTTGGACACTTCAAACTTGGAGTAAACAGCATCATCGGAGGTCATGGCGAAGGGAATGTCATCTATGGCTTCAGCTGCTTTTGCGTAGGCCTTAGCACCAGCAGATTCAGCATCCTACAGACACACGAGAACTTTCCTTAAGATGAGGCCCAGTGCAAACAATCCCCAATGACTGAAACTTAATTAAAAAACATTTAACCTGCAGTCAAGGTCTGCAGATTTCATATATTTGAATAATAAAGATATCCATTAGCCAAAATCCTTTAATTGAGCTTTTGAGATGATAAAGCATCACAGCTGTGTAGGAATGTAGTTTTTATTTGAGATATGATACTGTATGGGCATGAGAAATTAACTATATTACATTAACTGTCCAAAAAGTTTGTAGAATATAAACAAAGGGAAGGAGCTAAATCTTAACCTGTTATCTAGTCGAAACCTTGAGAAATCAGAGTAGTACCTTAAAGAATCCGATGACTGCCACCTCACTGTCAGCAATCAGAGACTCGGCCTCGGTGACCCCGGCAAGGGTGGCAACAGCAGGGCCTGTGCGCTTCTTCAGCCAGCTGACGATGTCATCTGCCTGCCTCCCAGCTGCAACACAATAACTTAAGGTAATTCTGTATCCATAGACGTCACATGTCAAAAGTCACAGATCAAATGCTCTGACCTGCGATACAGCAGGCCTCAACTCAAATCCTACAGTGCCTCAGGGGAGGCAGATGATAAAAGGGAATTTGCATTTCCTCTACTTTGGTTAAAGAGTGGAGGCACAGAGACACCCTTAATAAATTTTCTGGTGTGAAAGTTTAAGTGCATTTTAAAAGTGAAAGATCCACAGCAAAAACAAACCACTTCCGCTTTACGGAAACCTCTAACAGCTCTTACGGCTTCAGGTGACAATACACAACGCTGCCTCTTTGTTTCTGACTTTCAAATCCAAGCCCCATGTTGTATAATGGAATCACTACAGCAACTTTGTGAGGCTCAAAAACATGTTAACCTTTCTTTGGAGTAAGTGTGTTGCAATTAAAGTGGAATTGAAACATCAGACCTGGCTGTCAGACTGATGCAACGCAAGAGCAATTTCAGAGACACATGTTGATGAAGTGATATAGCATGTGGTTTTGGTGCAGTGCGTGGGAGACGAGAGAGGGGTGTTTTCTAGAAGCTGGACTCAAGTGAGAGCAGTCATTTCTACAAAAATATCCCAACTTACTCTCCCCTCCCTTTCCAAACTGAACCCGGCCCCGGCCAGCAGAGAAGAGGCGACGTGAAGAACTGCACATACCTCTGCCCAGCTGGGAGGCCAGGCTCAGAGTCAGCATGAGAGGAACGTGCAGAGGAAGCCCAGCCTACATTTTGCCCCAGTCATGTTGCTGAAAGCCGATTGGCAGAAACAGCAGCTGACTCACTGTTCCTGCTGCTGTGCAGATCATATTACCACAATGAAGAAAGCTAAAGTGTCTACGGTTTATCTGCCATCTACATATGATTTCACACGATTATACTACGAAATCATTTTCATTCACTTGACTATGACAGAGGTTACTCAAGAGTACGTCACTTTGTGAAAAAATAAACAACCTCCCATTCATCAAGATGCTTTTGGTAGGGAAAAACTAAGTTAGAGACTAAGACAAAGAATGACAAATGACACATTCTTTTAAATGTGCATAAGACTAAATTCAAATCCAGCAAGTTGTATGATGTCATTTAGGAGAATAGGAACATTACAACTGATTGAATATACCGACTATATGTGACTAAACAAAAAATATCGCCTACATCAACACATGCAGTACTTGAAAGGTGTTAATGTCCCACCACTGCTCCCAACTTCTGAGACAACACATTAATGCTCACCAGAGTACTCTTTGGGTGACTCCTTCTCGCCACCCTTGAAGAACTTGATGGTGGGGTATCCCCGGACGCCATACTCTTGTGCCAGTTCAGTCTCTTCTGTGGCGTCCACTTTACCCAGGCGGATCTCTGACCCCTCGGCCTTCAGCATGCCAGCCGCCTTGGCATACTCTGGAGCCAGGGCCTTGCAGTGACCACACCATGGGGCATCTGCAGGGCACACACAGGTTTGCATCATTGTTGAGAAACACACTAGATTGAGGGAGCTGATAATATTATTGCAAAATAGGAAAAAATACAAGCATGACAAAGAAGGGGATGAAATAATGACAATTTTCTATCATAATCTACAAGAGTGATGTCTTAAATTTTCTGGTTTGTCTGGAAAGCTGCCAGAAAGTCCATAATATTCATTCTATATTGGTATAACATAAATGAATTAATAAATGAATGCAAGTCATTGCATTTGTGCCCCTATAATCAGCCAATTTTATTTTATTTTATTTAGATGAATAATCAAAATTATAATTAGATGTGTTTGGTCAATGGGTCAATTTTATGTTATAATAAATAATATTTCTTATCAAACAGGAAAAACACTTGGGAAAACTTTAAATGACGTTAGAGACCTTGTAAAAAAGGGATAGCTTGATCTTCAAGGGACTTCCTTTAAAGAAAATGAATACATTGTGGCTGGAGAAGATTTCCACAAAAATGTGCCCTAATTAAATTTTAGCAATGGTTTCACATGTTGATTTGAAAGCCATGGTGTCCAATTGTACATGTGAAAAAAATCCAAACAGAAAAACACCTTATCAGAAATGACACGTCAAATAAAGTGTCCTGCATTGCACCACCTTTAATTCTTGACTAATAACAAAGCTTCCTTGTTCCAGTGCAGTCAATATAAACGCACAGATGAACTTTTGTAAAGTACACGTCAACCTAGCTCCACATACACACAGAGATCCCGCCCAGCTGAGAAATACGTGGGGCAAACAAAGCCTTCATCCCTCCCATCTTCAGCTCATTGGAGAGTCTCCCCCACGGGCATATCTGACTGGTCCACAGATTTGCCAGACAATAAGTGAGCAGGTCAACAATCTGACAAAAGTGAAGCGGGATGGGCCTGTTAGCTATGAAGAGATGGTTCATTTAAGCCTTTGCTATGAAAGCTGGTCATATTGTTGGGGGAAATAAGTTAATAAAAGACAACTACTGAATTAAATTTGCATCAAATAAGACGCCCGTGCTGCACGAAAGGCGAAACTTGCATTATGAAACCACAGCAAGCAATCGAAACTTAAAATCACGTTACAGATTCACCGACTCTTTTAGCTTCAAGCTACTTATAACAAGTATGTTACCACTGCTTACGGCAAAAGTGGTGATGCACGCACAGGAGACTTTCTCTAAATACAATAGGATGCACTGCTAACAGCTATCTACACCAGCTATAGCTAAGTAAAGCAAAAATATGGCTAAACAGCAGTTGTAATATGATTAACGTTCACAGTAAAACAAGCCGAGGGTTACTGTGTTGTGCCAAGTTTCTTATTTCCTCAGCATCAGTTCACACTTCGAGGACGCTCGGTGCTAGCTAGTCAAATCCGACGGGAAATATTTTGACAAAGAGAAAACGCAGTTTGATTAAGATCATCCCGTACGTTTCTTACACTGGTGAGCAACTCGCTGGTGGGCGACTGGGTGAAACAGATTCACGCATGGATGCAAAATTGAGCACGACACCAGTAAGTTAGCTAGCATCGGCAGCAACTTGTCAGAAGTGTCAAAGTTTAATGCTACCATTGACCCAGGCGTAATTTAGCTTGCTAACCGGGCAGCCGGCAAGCTTGCTGGAGATAGCTAGCATTGGCTGGCGAGATTTTGTAGCTGTGTTGTTACTTACAGAATTCAACCAGGATGTTGGGGTGAGCTTTGAGAGCCTCGTCGAAGTTACTTTTCTTCAGCACCAGGACATCTTCTTCTTCAGCGACCTCAGCCCTGCTGGCCACAGCCAGTGTGCAGATGAGCAAAAACTTCAACATAGTTGCTGTCGAGTGTTCTTCCTGACAGAGAGCCTAGAGGTGTAGACACGGTCGGTTACGGTTTAGCAGAGGAATTGGTCTCAGTTTTGGTTTTCTGCCTTGTTTAAGGTTGGGAGAGTAGCTGGTATTTTGTGTCTACCGCTACTAACGTGGCATTGCACGCAGAAACCGGAGGGGTCAGCCGTAGTGCGCATGCGCATTTATCAGGCCGAAAGCAGTTCGTGTTGAAATGTGACTGGACCGCGACGGGCTGCACCTGGAAGTGAATGAGAAGCGCTCCCTGCTCTCTGCTTACACATCAGCTCTGAGTGATAGCTCACCGTGATCATGGAGAAATGAATGGAAAACATGGTTTTTAATCGCCAACCCATTTAAATCTACAAAAATTATTTGTATCTTAACACCGTTTATTGTAGCCACAGCATTGTTTATCTAAATATAAATAAAACATGTAAGCAAAGATGTAACCTGGTTGTAGAACCTACAGTATGTTTTTTTCTAGCTCTGGGCTATGAGGTGTATGTAACTGTTAGTAGAAGGGCAAAGTCTGAGAGATGACTAACACTTAACAAATATGTCACATGATGTATAATAGGCTATGTATGACAGCTCTGTTTACACTGATAATACAAGAGTATAGATTGAAAGGCTATGTTCACTCAAAAAACAAACAAAATACAACAATAACAACAACTTAGAAATTTCAGTCACTGTCTGTTTTTATCTGGTGGGAACGTCAGAAATCTCAGAAACTGATATTTGAAAACCTGGGCAAATAAAACCAAAACTATCCACACTACTAAATTGACTCATTAAGGGAAAGCCTGAGGTTATTTAACATGAGTGCCAGTGAGAGGCACATTTTAAATATGGTGTTTGACAGAACATTTCTGCAAGTTTCTTTTCATCACAATGCACCTGGTGTTGTGCTTTATGACGTCTCACTGTCATATTTTCTGTTGCTTTATTAGCCTAAGTAAAGAGAGGAATTGTAATTAATCAGTAAATAACTGTTTGGAAAAAGGTGACAGTAACGATACATCTTGTGGGTCAGTGTTTTTATATTTATATCCTCTGTTGGTCCACTTTTTCTTGACAGAAGAATTCAGCCATGCACACGTCAGTCTGGCTATGATACCCCAGGGTTTAAGGACGTAGTTAGTGTGAGCTGAGCATATAATGTATCAGTAAGTCAGGGCTCACATCCAGAAATATTTTAGAGCAGGTTAAAGTGGTGCAGGACAAGGAAACAGCCAGGGAAAAGACAAATAATTCAGCTAAAGGAAGCAACAATTTGTGCCAAGATTGTCTATCATGAGGGGTGGTTAAAGAGGAGACAACATACAGAATACAGAATTAATCTGTCAAATAAACAGTGTAATTTTTTTTAAATCGTAGAACCACCATTTGCTAAATCTCTAAATACTTTGGACATGACCTCATTCTCTTTAATGGTAGCAACAACCTCTGCTGTATAGTGTGGTCAATTTAATTCTTTTTGCAAACAAAGTGCTACCTCCAAAAATAAAAACAAAGATTAAAAGAAAGGAAAAGAAAAGAAAGTTAAGGAGTAGGTGAGGAAGCTGCTTGTTACTTATTCTAAGTTATAGTTAATCTTTGAGACATACATTGTTGTACATTATTGTTACTGGGATCTTATACCCGATGAAAATTGAACATTTTTGCGGGCCGATACTGTATGTTGATATACATCATACTCAGTGTTGTGTATTCTTCCTAGACCATTCAACCTTGGTTGTCAGCAAAGCATTTTCCCAGTAGTGTTGTAAATAACCCTGCTGACATCAGACTGTAGACAGCTCCTTCTAGACAGGTTTTTATAGGCTGAGTAGTACTAACCATGGCAGTAAACTGAACTTGATCTGTAAAATCACTGCAAGCACCCTTTTAACAAAAGATGAATAATCTATCATAGTAATTCACAGGTCTGATATTGCTGATGTTCATCTAGCTTTGTAAGCTTTATCTCTGCCAATACCAGTAAAACCAGCTAGTCATAATTTAAAGAAGAAACACATAACTGGTTGGAACTGCAGATTAGCTCACAATAGATTCTTGAACTTAATTAGAAATTCCTACTCACACCCAACTTAACTCTAAGGAAGGAGTCCTGCTTTCAGTTATAAATCTGACAGCTGTTAATCAACAAATCACTCTGATATCTGTTAGGATTTTGAAAGACTTTGGCATTTGTTTGAGTGTGACTACAAAGGGACTCCTGCAGTTACTATGTGTTCAATGTCAGGTCTCTGTTCAGCCTTTGACTGCTGATGTTTAACAAGGTATTACAAGCTTGATAGAAATTATATAGGGTGTTATACAATATATATAGTGTTAAATCTTAAACTTACACCTGATACTCGGAAACTGGCTCATATTATCCCTCTGCATAAAAGTGAAGACTGTATTGACCAGGGGGGATTTCTGTGTTAATGCCATCAACTGCATTTTAAGAGAAGGTGTTTTTTAAATGATGAATTTCTCATTTTGGAATTAAACTCTGGCTGTGACACACTGGTTTTCATGCAGATGGCCTACAAAATGAGATTCAGGATCATACGTTGGCTCAGTTTCTTATAACTGAAGCAACCATATTTAGGCAAATTAGTATTCATCCACAGGTCCCTTGATCCTACATCTGTGATGTTGGAGCTGTTATGAAATGTAATATGATATGGTTGCCATAGAATCATATGGACAACTAATGAGTTAAGTTTGTTTATGTACAGGCTTTGTGCACAAAGTGTTCAGGTAATGACTGCAGTTCACTGTGGACTGGTGTTTACCTTGCCTTTACTAGAGTCGGTCAATATATCACAGAGGATAACAGAACTAATGTGTGCTTATGCAGTAATAGTGCTTGTAAACCTTATACTTTGTATATTTCAGCACCTAAATGTCTCAGTTTACACTCTCTATCCAGCGAGCACAAAAAGACATAAGGCCTCGCTCTCCTTGTTAAATACAAATCATACGTGTCATGAATTTGCAGCACGCCTCAGTTTGACGAAGCAGTGAGCAGCGTGAGCCGATTGGCTGCAGCAATTTGACAGTTTGTCACTTTTGCACATGGTGTGGCTGCATCCTGCAATCTGTCACACAAGAGAAAGATAGCCACCTGTCAAAATAAGAGTCCTATCATAACACATCATTTTGCAAAGTCGTTGATATGGTGGAATTAATAGAATTTGTAAAGTAGCTCTGCTGAATTTTGAAAACAAATTCACAAACTTTTAATGTTGTTTTTACGGCACATACAGCACAATCATAAAACAGCTCTCAAGGTGTGTGATCTACCTTTCATTTCAACTCGCAGCGCTTTTGCAAGGCATGAAACAGCTAAGTGAAGGGAGAGGCTATCAGTTTATTTTATCAAGGGCAGTTTTTAAATGCAAACATTGTCCCTGCTGACTGCAGTTCTGTAAATTTCAACACTTTTTTTATTATTTGTTTAACTTTTATGTAATCGGGCAGGTCAACAGTGAACAGTTTGCTGTGTATAATGATAGGAGGTGGTAGAAATTCAAAAAAGATTCAAATGATCCGCAGGAAGTTTTTTCATGAGCAGTGTGTGTGTGTGCGGGGTTTGATGCATGGACAGGGGAAAGCAGTCTTAAAATGTTCTGCCTTTCACCGTTTAAGCCAAAAGCAAGAGGTCCACTATAAAGTTTTTCTTAATATTAGTGTTGTGTTTTTACCCTTTAACAAAACTTTTTTTCAAATCAGAAGCCTCTAGATTAGGGATGTGCACTGAGTGGACCAAACAGTCAGGTAGACAGATCAAATAATTCCTGAAAAAGGCTAACATCCTAATGACCTCCGTGAATCTAACACAAGGACATGTAGAGAAACCGGCTCCAACTTTTATGTTGTTTGTGTGAAGTAGTCATGCATAGTCAGTGTATTACCTGCAGTAGATTTGGATCAGCGGTGTGCCAGTTAGGAGAGGCAGCAGGGAACATGGCACACCAGCAGCGCTATGTACTGCTGTGCACGGGACCAGCAGGAAAAAAAAAACGTGTTTTAGACACTTTTAAAAGATGCCCTCCGAAACAATCAGACATCCGTTTAAATGTACGCTTCATGTAGAATATTTTCAGCGATTTATCTTCCCGGGAAAACAGTTCTTTCCTTTGGTACTACATTTTTCTCAACCGCTGAACTGCCGTATTCCTACGCACAAGCGCACCTACAGTGCGCACTGTGTGGTCAGCTGAGTGAATCAGAAAGAGCTGAACTTCACTTTGTCTTGATGGGAGGATAAATGTCTCTAATATCTTGTACAGTCAAAGTGTATACAGTGGATGGAAGAGGTAGATCCTTTACTTAAAGCAGCTCTGATTCATGTTTTTATGTGTGAAAGAGTCGCTTGTAGTGATAAACCTGTAGAGAATTAACACCTGAATCTGCAGCTCCCCTCAGCTTCATTCAGCTTTATGGTATTTCAGCTTTATACTGTTTGAATTATGGCCCACAACTCATTGTCACAGCAAGCTGCTGTTATCAGTGAAAAAGCTAGTACACATACCTGCACAACACCAAACAGCAGACAGACACAGGTTAGTCGGAGCATTTAGCAGCTAAACAGACAGATTCTTCCCTGAGAAGTAGGTATACAGTCTATGGTAGAGACCAAACAAACAGCTCATCATTAACAAGATCCTGGAAAACTGAAGGGGTATTGGTCAAACCAAATAGCATCACCAGGTACTCAAAGGATGGTAAACTTAGGTCTTCACTCATCTCCCTCTCTTATGTGCACCAGCTGGTTGGCGTTGCAGATGTCCAGCTATGTGAGAGTGGTGGCACATTGAAGGGGTTCACAATCAGTGTTGAGCAATGAGAGTGGATACTTGTTTTTCACAGTGATGTTGTTTAACCCACAGACTTATGGATGGTGGATTAGAAAAAAAGTCAGTATATCTGGCGTGACCACCATTTGCCTCATGCAGTACAACACATCCTCTTTGTACAGAGTTCATCATGTTGTAGATTGTGGCTTGTGGCCTGTCGGCCCACTCCTCTTTAAATGCTGTACAAAGGTGCTGGATATTTGCAGGAAGTGGAACATGCTGTCGTACACACAGATCCAGAGCATCTCGAACACGCTCACATGTCTGGTGACTACACAGGTCACGCAAGAACTGGGATGTTTTCAGCTTCCAGGTATTC